AGATAGATAGTTAGAAACATCGATGGGAGAGAAACATCGATCAGCTGCCTCCTGCACATCTCCCACTGGGGATGTGCCCGCAACCCAGGTACATGCCCTTGACCGGAATCGAACCTGGGACCTTTCAGTCCACAGGCCGACGCTCTATCCACTGAGCCAAACCGGTTTTGGCCATGGAGTCATTTTCTTGATGAGCATATAGCATGTCTGAGGAACACACTTGGGAAATGCTCATCCACGTCATATTACCATGTTTTCAGGTTGCCTTGTGTTGACTTTTGTTATTGGATGCTCCTAGGATTCTAGTCCATGACAAAGACCAGTAAGGAAAGCTTTGTCACTTTTTCCAAGGAGTAATAGGATGGAAAAAGACCCAAAAGCTACTCTCTCAAGGAGAACAGATCTGATTCAAATTCAGAAGCTCTGATTCATCCTAATTGTTGTATTTCTGAGGGCAGACGACATTTGCCATGACCTCTAACCGGATGCCTTTTCCCATCCTAAAGTACATTCTGCTATGTAAAATGAGGTCGTAATAAACTTGGAAAGTGGTAACACTGTGGTTTTAGACAACTGACGTAAGTTTTACGGAAGCATTTTTTGCAACCCACTTTGATGGCAAGGGTGAATGCTGCACATGTAAACTGCACATGGAGACGGGGATCTGGTGTCAGCTACAAGTTCATGTTAAGATCTGAGTCTGCCCCATGGGAACAGAACTCTAATTAAGGGGCTAGAGCTGGAAAGCTCACAGCAGCTCTGGAGCAACAGCAGGGCCACAGGGGCATAGCTCCCTGGCCAGGCCCTGCCAGAACTGAATGTCCAGATGAATTCTTTCTTTATTCAAGCCTAGACTACATTTCATTGTGGAGTTTTGGTAATTGAATAAATTCTAATAAACTGTCTTCTCTGGTGTAGATGTAGAAGAAGGCTTTTCATATTTTATAATGTTCTTATGTTTTCATATTCTGAAAGCAATAAATGGTAAGTGTGGGTATAACACACAAAAGCATGCAAATAGAATAAAAGTCATCCCTAATGCCACTAATTAGAAATAATTGCTATTGATATTTTGGTTTACCTATTTAAATATTTTCTTTCTTTTCGAGATGGTACATCCTTATTTGGCAGGATGCTTTGAGAATATTTCTGAACTCTTTATGGCCCTAATGCTGTAGGATAGAATTTATTTTGGGGCCAACTCGCCCTTCCCAGAAGAGCTACAAAGGTGAGCCTGTCTAGCCATAGAAATGCAAGTGCAGCAAGAGTGTTTTCATATCATAGCCCTGAGTATTGGTGAAATAATTCTGCTACTACAACTTGTACTACATTACTACTAACACATGGTGATCCCAATGCTAATAGAACTGCTATTTTCTCTATGCTAGAGTATCTCTATTTTAAATGCATTATCCTAGTTAATCCTTACAATAACATGATGTTATATTCTATTATTATCCTCACGATGCAAAGCGAAGACAAACAACTTGCCCAAGGTCATAAGTACCAGTAGTGGTGAAGCTGAGATTCGAACCTGGACATTCCAACTGCATAGTCTGTGCTCCTAGATTGTTAACCAAGATGTTTCGTAAGGTAAAGGTTGCCTTCATTGTGGGCTGAGTATAGCCCTAAGAAATCATTGGAACGTTAGCTGGCTGGATTCTAATTCCTCTCGCATGTTCTGATACAAGGGCACACTCCAACGGGAAGGGGTGAGAAATGAGGGGAGGGGACGGGAGAGAGAGGATGAAAGAGAAACTCCAGTTGAGAGGAGTGTGTCCCTCAATTTAGCAGCAGCAGGCCAGAGGCTGGAAGCTAAGGAGGAAGGATGGGCATGGCTCTCTGCAAATAGGCCTGGCCTATGGATTTTAAGAGCAACGATGTGTGAATTCCAGTTTGTTTTTCTTTCTTGTCTTGTAATTTGGCTATGCTATCCTCAGCCATATTTATGTTTATTAAACCACAGAGTTATCTATTAGCCGATCTCTGAAGAATAAAGAGTGTAGGGTTACGCTCACGTTTGGGGATTAGAAATAGGAAACTTGACTGAAGAAGTCTGGGTCAGCTGTCAAGCATGGAAGGCGGAAAACAAAAACCAGAATATACTGAAGATCACCAGAAATAACTGCCGAGAGGACTGTTCTGTGGTCCTGAAGGATGGGGTAGAACAATGAAATAGACAATACTGGATATTATGGGAAGCTCAATCCTGTAAGTCTTGAAAACTGGGGACACTGAGTTACACATGTAGTGCAACACACATGAAGTCAGACATCTAGAATGTTTTCCATTTCTTTTTGGCTAAGGAATAACAATGTGAGATAAGGATGCCCGTGATCACCGTTTACTATGCATCTTAACAATAAGACATGAAAATATGAAGACATAACTTGAAAGAGATGAGATTTTTTTTTATTTTTTGTAGACGATGATTGACTACATAGAAAATCCAAAAGAAGCAATAAGCAATGTGTTAGAACTAATAAGACAGTCCAGCAAAGTTTCTGGGTCCAAGACTAACTTAAAAATACTAATGGGCCCTAGACAGTTTGGCTAAGTGGATAGAGTTTCAGCCCAGGAACTGAAGTGTCCCAGATTTGATTCCAGTCAAGGGCACGTACCAGTTGTAGGCTTGATGCCTGGCCCTGGTCAGGGCACATGGGGGAGGCAACCAATCGATGTGTCTTTCTCACATCAATGTTTCTCTCTCTGTCTCTCCCCCTCCTTTCCACTCTCTCTAAAAAGTGAATGGAAAAATATTCTCCAGTGAGGATTAACAAAACAAAAAGTTTTAATGGTATTCTTACTAACAATGCCAATTAGAAAATTATGGTCTATATATTCAATTTTTATCAAAATCCCAAGAGGTATTTTAGATAAACTTTTCAGCTTATCCTAAAAATCATCAGTAAGGTCTAAATATGGCCAAGACAATTTCTGTTCTTTTTGAGTCACTTAGAAGAAAGAAGGAAAAACTATGAAGGGGAAGGGCAAAACACTGAACATGGGTGCTTGTAAACTAAGAATCTTCGAGGACAATATATAAATAATGCTATTAAAAGTGTTAATGAATTGTAGCAATACCTGCTAGTTAATGGCTCTTTTAGCTTCTTTCTCTTAATGACCCAGGACAGTCATAAAGCACATATTTTGTATGCCCATTTCTTAATATTAGAGGCCTGGTGCACGGATTCATGCACGAGTGGGGTCCCTTGGCCTGGCCTGCAGGGATCGAGCCAAAACCTGCTCTCCAACATCCCTTGAGGGGTCCCGGATTGAGAGAGGGCAGTTCTCGGGTGATGCACCCCGGAATCCTGGAATCAGGCTTCCTTTTCTCTGGTTCCACGTGAGTCACCTGCATTGAGCATCTGCCTCCTGGTGGTTAGCGCATGTCATAGCTACCGGTCAAAGCATCTGCCCCCTAGTGATCATTGTGCTTTATAGCTACCCGTCAAATGGTCAGATGGTCTCTTAGGCTTTTATATATATAGATATTTGTCAAATGAAAGGATTCATAGCAGAGCAAGTTAGTAATAGCTGATTGATGAAATGAAGAGAAGACTTAGGTACAGGTTGTAAACTGGTGGCCTAAGAATGAAATTAGGCTTGCAGATGTGTTTGTTAAGTCTCACAATTTTGACTGGCATTGTGTCAGGAAATGTTTGAAATTGTTGTCAACGTTTAAAAAGCTGGAGATTTCATATGAAGACCATTGGTTAAAGCCACATTGCTGTTTCCATTCTTTCTGGAGAACTTGTCTTTGTTTGCTGTAGCTCATACTGCTCTTTATCATCTCCTTTGGCTCTCATTTGCAATGCCTGACTGGTTCTGACAGTCATTTGAGTTTGTAACCCCTGGCTTAATGCCAAAAGATGAGGAGGGATCCTTTTGTGGTCTAGATTAGCACCTTAAGTCTTGAAGAAAGCCAATGAAAAGAGAGCTAGTAAAATGTTTCTTTTGATAAAGAAATTGTTTGTAGATCACGTTAGAATAACATTCTTATACTTTGTTTTGAAATGCATTATAATTAAGTGAACTTTCATTTAAATAACAATAGATATACCAAACTACTCTGGTAGCTACTAAAACTCTTTTATGAAAGACAAAGAATTCACCTTTCTATGGAAATAGTAGCCGCTACTAGCTCCCAAAAGTTGCCAAAAAAAGTGGAATACAACTCATAGTGGCCATTGGCATATTGCATCATAAAGTGACAAAAACTTCCAAGGAACTTGCTTGCTCTTACCACCACCTACAAATTTGGGACAGAGCGCTAGTAAAGATACAAGTGCAATTTGCTTTTCCCTCTTTTAAAAAAATTTTATTGATTTTTTTTAGAGAGAGGGGGATAGAAAGATAAAGAAACATTTATTTGTTGTCGCACTTGGTTATGCATTCATTGGTTGATTCTTGTAACTGCCCTGATTGGGGATTGAACTTGCAACCTTGATGTATTGCTTTAACCAACTGAGCTACCCGGCCAGGTCTACAAGTGTATTTTGGAAAGCAACTGTGTCACAGGATGCCACTGTTTTGCAACATTTATTCCCTGGTTCAACAACGAAGAAAAGGACCCCCGAGAAACAAACAGTACAGTGAGAGGGGAATGTTGGGGGCAGCGCTGGGGAAAGCGGCAGAACACAGCCACGTAAAAGAGCTTGGCTTGGTTTTCTCTAGCCAGTGCTGGAAGGTGACCATCATTTGGTTGTTTCAGATCATTTCCACTGGCATTTGCCTGGTCTCTCCTGGTTATGTGCCTCATCTCAAGGTGTTTGAGTCCTTCAGTGGACGGCAATTCCTTAGTGACTCCTGCAATTAGCCTGTAAATCTGAGTTGACCTCAAAAATGCATAATATGCATATGCAAATATGCATCATTGCCATCATCTGACTATGCAACCTTGGACCAAAAGCTATAGTAGAAAACTTGATTCTCTCTTCCCTAAGTCAGAAAATCAACCTGCCCCCCCCCCCTCCAAAAACACAAACAAAACATCAATGGAATACAAAGCTGATTTGAGTATTTTATTTATAAATGTACATTTACTATAAAAGCTGTTGCATTTTAGACAACTTTTTATTTGTTTTCTACTATTTCTTAGAGGCATTTTAGAATAAATATTTTAAATGAAGGTTAGTGTAACTGATACAGAACATTGGCCCACCCAGAACAGTAACATCTTTTGGACGGACTCACACATGAGGTGGATCATTTCAGTTCGTTAAGTCTTACACTGTGTATAGATAACTAGAATATGTATTGCATTAATACCACTACATAGAAAGAATGAGGAAATGGCATGAAAGTTTGCTAGTGAATGACAGTTACCCATTTTTTCTTAAGAGAAGGGACTGGCTTTTGGAGTATGAGAAAAAAAGTCAGACGTACTTCCTTGGGAACAATAAATCACTCACTTGCATCATCTTTTTATTTTTTTTAAGCAAACACATTTACATAGTAGCTCCACAGAGCAGAGCATTTTTTTTTCCCTGGGATCTCAAAGATTATTTGAAAAGAAATAGATCATACTCATTATGCTGTCTTGGAAAAAACAAGATCTAGTCTGCCCGAGCTGCCATGTAACAGACTCCAAATGAAATATAAATCAAATATAAATAGAAACAGTTGGCAATTAGAATTTAGAAAATGTTGGAGATTATTCTGTGCTGGTGACTATTGTTCATTATGGGAAAGCACATCTCGCAGTCAGAGAATGGGCTTTATTTTTCTTGACTCGATTCTAGCTTCAATACATGTACAATGAGTCTCACTAAGAAATGTGTATAAATGGGTCTGTGAAACCAGAAGAGAATGTGCAATATTCATATAATCCCTACATAACGGATGGAGTTCCACATGTAAAAAGTCTCCTATAAAAATCGTCTGTGAATGATCGTATTGTACATGTTTTTGTGCATTGTTTCTGGTAAAGTACTCTGCTAATATCATGCAAAGTGTAAACATCACATTATCAAAATATTTAATAAAACATGCAGGTGGTTAATCAAAATATTGAACTTAATCTGTACATTTTCAAAACTTTTTTCATGTTAATGTTTTCCATTTTTCTTTTTTTAAATTTTATTTATTTTTTCCCTGTAAAACAGCAAACACCTCCAGGAGAAGTCTTGGGAACTTGGAAGTGACTTCATCTCTCTTCAATGTACTGCATCCATAATTCATACTGTGTGCAACAGCTTTGCATTTTCTAAGGCACAATTTTTAATGAAGTGATGTGTGAGTTTCAATCCAACTGCAGCTCATCCAAATGACAAAATGGTCAAAATACCTCCAGTGGCTGAGGGAATTTCTGCACTTATATGGAACCCACATGCAGAGAACCATCTAGCATGTAAATAAATAATTGCTAGCCATACTCAATAAGACAGAAAAAAATTATTGCTTACGTAACAGAAGAACATCTACTTGGTCTCCTTTAATGACTACATGAATCTATTAGGCAGACACCCACAGTCTACATTCACAAAAGGTCCTCTTCGCTTATTTACCATCGTTTCAAGGCAGAATAAATAGTCCCCCTTTCCCCAGTCTTAAAGAAAACAGCCTGGAGATTTAAAACGTGATGCTTTTTAGTCACTCGATTCCCCTCTTGGCCCGCTGAAACACCACACAGGGCTTAACAAGTAAGCAGCTCTCCACAAGAGTTCCTCTCTGAAGGTCTCCATGAGCAAGGTTCAGAATTCTTGAGAGCAGAGAGAGCCGGTGATGTAGGAGAATGAGGAAGAGCAGATGTCCATTAGGGTGGGCAGCGCACATGGACCCTGCAGGTTCTTGCTGATGACACACCAGTGGCTTATCCCATCACGTGCCATTTGGATTCTATTAGGATGAACTTAATGCTGTTCTTCAGACACCTGTGCCTTCAAGGAGACCTTGCAGGCAAGGGTGAGCAGTGGTTTCACTTAATGAAGGACCGACCTCGATGAGGGTTTCCGGATGCCTTATGCTGAGTCTTTTATTGAATGTAGAGTCTGAAGAGGAGCAAGCAACAAAGCCCTGGTGGCTGGCATGGGCCCACCACTCTTTTGAAGATCAAACTTCCTCACATATTTTGGAAAGGACTTGGGAAATGATGACCAAAATGTTTTCCTCTGGGTTCCCCTACCCTTGGGCAATGTCCGGAGTGTAAGTCTAGCTGATAGTGCAAGGGTTCTCTTTATTTGATGGCCCAGGCTCTATCAATGACATAACCTTCAAAGCACACTAAACCTAATACTAACGGTGCAATAATTTATTGGTATGACTTCTGCCTCAAAAGGTAAGTAACACAAGTGTTTCAGGATTACAGTATATATTATCAGACTAGTGTCATTGCATTAAAAACAAGTTATAGCTCAGAGCTATATGATGTGGTTTTTAGTATCTGAAATGCATTACTTGTAAGCTCCTGTCTTAAAAGACCCCGTGTCTCAAATTGGCATGTCTTGCACTTTCTGCAGCTCAATTTTGTAAACACAAAGTATTTAATTCCTAGAAATACTAAAACAAAACAGGTTTATTGAATCATCTATCTCATCAACTCCCCAAAGAAGAGAATAACACGTTTTAAACCGTAAGCCTGTTCGACCATGCTAAGACCTTCTTTTAACTAGTCAGAATCATTATAGTTCAATATTCTTTTGTATATATTGTGCAAATGCAAAAAAAAAAAAGAGAGAAACAACAAACAGGAAAAACACAAACACTGTGCTATGAAAGAACAGATACCACCTTTTAGAGTAGCCTTTCAGAAATTAGATGAATGCTGAGAATCCCCTGAACATGGGATTCTGTTAAACAATTGCCAGGGGAGACTCTCAAGAGAGAGGTGGTGAGTGATCTGGGGTCTTGAAAGCCATGTCACAATGTTGTGGGTTGGCCAGCACCTGTGATAAAGAAATCAGAGCGACATCTGGTTAATCAATGCTTCTTGCTTCAGATGTTTAAAGGTGTCCCAAATTAGCTATGGCCGCTGCCAAGGCCTCTGCCCTCCAGGGAAGAAAACTAGTCCCACCCTCCCGCTCAGTGTGTTCCCAGGAGGAGCAGTATTGGGATTACCCGGAGCTGGACTTCTGAGCCCCATCCCAGAACTTCAGAAGAGCCCAAGTGCTTCACATGCCCTGCAAAATTTGGTTGAAATCCTCTGGATTTCACCCTACACCATATGATCCCCATCAAGTTTTCTACCTTGCCTTCTTGGCAAATAAGCAAGAAAATGTTCTCCCTTCTCTCAGTTTCTGGAGGTTTTGGTTTCTCTAAGAATAAAGACATTGCAATGGGAGGCATTTGTCATATGATCTAGAAACAGGATTGCTGGAGCCGCAATGAGAAACACAGAACACCCAGGAAAATCTGAAAGTCAGAGAAACAACAAATACAATATTTAGCCTAAGTGTTTATCCGATATGATATTTGGGATATAGTAGTGCTAAATCCTGAACACGCAATATTTGAAACATACGCCTAAAAAAGGAATTCATTATTTATCTGAAATTCAGACTTAACAGGGCAAAAAATATTTAACTGGGCATCTTGTCTTTTTATTTATTTATTTATTTATTTAAATCTGGCAACCCTATCTAGGGAGGATAGTTTGAG